ACTAGTTAGATCCCAGCCTCATGTCTGCTGTGCACCATCCACTCTCTCTGAATGCTGCAGTGGACTAGTTAGATCCCAGCCTCAAGACTGGCTGGAAGGATCCATTCCAGGCTATGATGCTAGAACTCTCCTCTGATGAGTATGGTGTGGGGGAAAGGAGATGGATAGGTCTTCAAGTCGGCCACAAGAGACAAGAGGAGTGTGCACTTCACAGCAGTTACCCAGGGCCTCCTTGAAACTAAAGGGAATAACTTCTTGATCTTTCAAATTGTGGAATTTGATGAATTCTCTCCACACAGCAAGGCTGGATCTTTTTTTTTTATGACACACTAACCACAAATTTTTATGTTCAAAAGACCTAGCAATAGCCCAAAGTAGAACTGAGGAACAGTTGGTTATAGACATCAGTCCCAGACCAGGTCTTCCACGTATTAGTCCAATGACTATTTATCCTGAGATACTACCCCTCCTTTTGTATATTCAATGATATTTGTTTTGGAAACAAAACTATCATCTCTCTTTACATAAGATGATATCAACTGATCTCCATCCAGTGGAGGCTTCATATAATGCAGAATTTCTCAAGGCAGAAATACATCTATTCTTGCCTGAACTGTGTGTTTGTGCCAGCACTGTGCCTGCAGGCCTCAGGGAGAGGGTCCTGGGACCTAGTCACTCTCTGAGTCCTTCTCACGAGCTCTCACAGTTTCAGCTCCTCGGTCTCTTCTCCGGAAGTCACCGAGCACTTTCATCCCTGAGTGTTTTAGAGGAGGGGCTGTCTTTCGAAGCTTCTCAACTCACAGCTCTGACTGGCTTTCTCAGAGTGCCTTATTGCATGGAGTTGTTGAAGCACACATTGCTGGGCTCTGAGAGAGAATTTCCAATTCGGTGGGTCTGCATTAGGGTCCCAGGGCATGCTTGTCTTAGTTAGGGTTGCTATTGCTGTGAAGAGACACCATGACCAATGCAACTCTTAGAAAGAAAGCATCTAGTTGGGATGGCTCGCTTACAGTTGCAGAGGTTTGGTTCATTATCATCAGGATGGGGAGCATGGCAGCATGCAGGCAGACATGGTGCTGGAGCAGTAGCTGAGAGTGCTACATCTTGCAGGCAACCGGAAACCAACTGAAGTCACACTGAGGGAAGCTTGAGCAAAGAGACCTCAAAGCCCGCCCCCACAATGACACACTTCCTCCAACAAGGCCACACCTCCTAATAGTGCCACTTTCTTTGGGGGACTTTGTCTTTCAAGCCACTACCACGCTTATTCAGCTGATTTTTAGACTATTAGCACTGACCCCAGGGAACCACACTGAGAACCACCATCACTAAGGACGCCCCAATTTTCTGCTCTTTTATAGCTTCCAAGATTTTCTTGCTGTTTCTGTACTTGTCTCTTTCACCAGACATCTTGGTTAGATCTTTAAAGACGTCTACAGATTCTCATTTTCGTGAAGTTATCCAAAAGGAAACATCGGCCGGTCCTTAGAATGTCCAGAATGTTCTCTGCTCTTTGCCTCAACTGATGCACGACTTTCTCTCAAGAATCCCCTTTTCTGTCATCAGAGACCATGGGTCACCGGGCAGGAACACATTCTCTCGACTCATGCTTGCATTTCCAGGTCCTCCTGCAGGTTTTTAGGACCCACTGAAGGTAGTTACGTCATCTTTTGGTGTCCCGGGATCCTAAGGTAGTTACATCATCTTTTGGTGTCCCGGGATCCTAAGGTAGTTACATCATCTTTTGGTGTCCTGGGATCCTAAGGTAGTAAGTTGGCTTATTGGGGCAGCTGTAACAAAACGCTAAACTGTGAACTCGATATCTTACACAACCAGAATTTGTTTCCAAGTAGTTCTGGAAGCTACAATCCAAGATGAAGATGTTTCCAAGGTTCATGTCTCCTGGCATCTTTCTCCTCCGCCGAGTAGTGGTACCCGTGCCCTTAAGTGCTTGTGCCCTCACAAAGCCTTCTTCTGATGCCTGCTCATCTGTGCTTTAGTTTCTTCCTCTGACAAAGCTGGCAGCATCCTGGATGAGGTCCCACCCACATAGCCTCCCTTGACTGTAATTGTCTCTTAAAGACTCTGTCATCTCTCAATGGTCTAGGAGATCCTGGGGGTTCGACTCTTAGCAGATGAATTTGGATTTCAAAGCAGTCCATAAGAGGCAGTATCTCTTAAAGCATGGTTCAGGGTCAATTTATATTAAATTTCTCATAGTCTTTATTAAATTGCAGATTTGTGGGCCAAACCCCAGCTGTGCTGATTGAAGTCCCAGGGCTATGCATGTTGTGCTAGCTAATTAGGAAAGAGTCCCAGTGAGCCATTACTTTGATCAGGTTGACCTGTGGGCAAGTCTTTTGGGATTTGTCTTGATTGTTAATTGATTAGGAACATCCATTGGCTGGGTCTGACTGTAAGAATGAGCAGCAAGCCAACAAGGACTTGTTTATTCTTTCATTGCTCTTGACTGTGGATGTGATGTGCCTCGCTGCTTGAGTTCCTGCCTTGGCTTCCCTAAAATAGTGAACTGTGATCTGGAATTGTAAGCCAAATAAACCTTTTCTTCTCAAAGCTGATTATATTTGGGTCTTTGTCACAGCAACAGAAATGGGCACAGGGAGTGTGAACGTTAGCAAGGGCACCCCTTGCCTTCCCAGCCTTCTCGGGACCTGATTCACTTCACCCCACCGTTGAATCCCTCTGACACCTCGTCTCTCCATTTTTTCTGGTGTGCCTGGGTTGTTCCATTGTCGGTGTGAGGGGAGGTGTTTGAGAAGCAAGCCTATGAGTGATCATCTGTGCCGAGGAAAAGCTCTAAAGACAGGCAGAGAATGCACAGACCAGAGGATAGACAATACGTTCAAGAAATTGCTTGAAGGCAGAATGCAGGGCGTGGTGTGTCAATGCCATGGAAACCAGCCATGGTGAGCTTCCTACCTGGGCAGCTGTTGTCCATCCAAGCCAGGATGAGGACTCTGACAGGAGAGGTCATGGGAGGAGAGCATTTCCAGGCTCCACCTAGGCTGTGCATAGAATACAGGCCGTGCGTGGAATACAGGATTTTCCTGACTATAATTTGAGTGTTGTACTCTTAAAGAACCATTTCAGTGAGAAAAAAATGTAGTGGTTAATATAGGTAGAATATCTGTCTGTCTGTCCTGGCTATAAAGGCAGTAGGATGCCTTCTGCCAGTCTTTGGTGATTCTTTGACACCTCTGCAAACTCAAATTCCTTGAACTCACTTGTTCTTTTTGGCTCCTAAAATTTTCGCTCGTGCTTAGAGCACACCTCTGTCTCTTCTCAGGTTACCCGTGGCCTGCACTATTCCTTGTACAACTACCCAGAACCAAAGGCAATGTCCCAGACTTCTAGTAGGGAGCAAATAGCATGTGTGGTTTCCCAGAGAGCCTTTAAGGGAGTGTATTGCAGTCATGTGCAATGAGTAAACACCAATTTAAAATCGATTCCTAGAGTCTGAAGTTTTGTGTTTCCACTTTACCTCTTACAAAACAATGGTCAGCCAAATAAGCAATGAACGCCATGTCTAGTTGCCTGGGGGCATTGGGGGGTGACTGGGCTGGTGAGAGATGCGGACGAAGCCTGTGCCATCTCACAAGTTATTTCCACCTTGCTTTCCTTCAGGAGGCACATGAGATGGCAAAATAAGTGAGATGCACTTTTCCCACCGTGATTACACACTCCTGATGAGTGGGCAAGAGTCCGTTGGACTCGAGTGTTGAATACGGTCGCTGCTCGTTAATCAGATTGAGCCATAATTTTTAAATTAAAGCCCAGGGCGCTCTGGTACTTGCCCATCTGTTTAACGTCTCTCGCTGCTGATGACTAACAATGTAATTATTTTCAATTGTCCACAGATGTCTCGCCAGGCAGAGTCTGGGACCTCAGTGGTTGGTGGGCTCAGAGGGACCCTCACAGAGTAAGGAAGGGCTTGTCAGGACCTCCAGTGGGGCAAACCTTAAAGCTCTGGGACAACAGGGATGGGGATCCTCAGGAAGGGGATTTCTATGTTTGTTACCATTTTGCTCTTAGAAATTTCCTAGCAAAATGCTTATGAAATTAAGACTAAGTAGCAAATCAACCTGGAGCAAGGCTGTGGTTGGGGGCTTTGTTGTTGTCCTGGTTCCCCGTGTTGGCACACACGGGCCAACGCTGTTCCTTCCTCTGAGGTCATGTTCCATCTGCTCTCCTCAATGTGACCAAAAAGCTGAGGTAAACAAGTTAAAGGAGGAAGTATTTCTTTCGGCCATCATTCTCAGCGGGTTTAGTCCATGGGTATTCCTGGGCATGTAGGGAAGCAGACCGTCATGGCAGGGAGAATGTGGCAAACCAAAGTCGCATAGAAACTAGCAAACATCGTAACAGAGAGGTAGAGATGGAGAAGAAAGGAAAAAGTACAAAATATGGCCTCCAAGGCATGCCTCCTAAAATCTACTTCTTCCAGTAGGCCCCACCTCACAAATTTTCTACCACCTCAGCAGCCTAAGGTAGGAATCCATGAATGGATTAATCATGAGGCCAGAGTCCTTGTGATCCCAACACTTCCAAAGTCCTACCTCTGAACAGCACTGGGGACCAAGCTTTCAACACATGAGATTTTGAGGGCAGGGCACATAAGATCCAGACCCTAACATAGCAAGCACAATGATGCTTATACAAAGAAACATAGCACTTGAATTTTGAAAGTTTCCTGAGGGAGGCAGGAATGGTTTAATTCTGAGAAAGGTGATGCTGTTGGGAGGTAATGTTGGGGGCAAGAGGGGTTTTCCTGAACTTCAACCCATGCATTAAGTGTCTGCCTGCATCTGTTTTAC